TTGAAAAAATATTTCCCAAAAGTGGGTATCTTTTAACAAGTTACGAAGAAGCCAAACAATGTAGGCGATTTTTTTGGCTAACAATGTCGTAATTGAACTACATTTACAACTCTATCACAATTATCATGACTATCCAACGCAAGAATGACAATAGTAGAGTAAGTTGATTGATTCAAAATCAACATGCTTATTTTGAAGTAAATGTGGTGTTTGATGTGTAAGAGAAATTGCTACTGAACTTCAATTAAGCTTGAGAGAGATAGACATGGAATATAGTTAAATTAGAATTTTAGCTTCGTACAAATGTTGATTTAGAAAGGACTAACTTCAAATCCAAAAACAAATATCAAACATTTGAATGCATTGTGGGTTTCAAAGTTAGTCCATTTGATGTTTTTTAACCCAATACTATAGTTTAGCCCACTTGGTCAGCCCACCATTAAAAATGTCATTCGGTTTGATGTCTTTATAAGAGACGTCATTCGGTTTGACGTCGTTGCCTCTACACGCTAGATCAAGTCATGCAGTTGTTAATAACATGTGATCCAGCCACACCAACAAATGTGATGTTTATTTAATAAAATAATGTTAATAAAATGCACTCAACTTGTAAAGGACATATATAATAAATAAAATAATACAAATATAATAATCAAACCACTCAATTATTTTATGTTGTATATAGGGGTGTTCACCCTACCCTACGGGTAGGAAATATGCTCTTCTGTCTTCCTACCCAATACTTTGCGGAAGAGTTTTTTCTTGACCTACCCTACCTGACAGGTGTGATATTCCTACCCGACTTCCTACTTGATTGATCGGGTAGGAAATTGAGTAAATATTTTTGTAATAATTAATTTTTGGATCATTTTAACAATTTAATTAATAAATAAATTTTGATAATTTAAAAATACATAAATTTCTTTGTCCTACTAACATATTTTTTCCTAATAATACCTAAAAATATTTTGCTCCCTCTTTTTTTGAGAGGATGAGTAATTAAATTTTTATTTATTTAACATTTAATTACATTTAATAAATAAATTTTGATAATTTTAAAATACTTATATTTTTTTAGCATATCAAACTCCACCGACAAGACCAAGCACACCAATTATCGTAACTGGCCTTAAATTTTATCATGAGTTTTAATTTATTCCTTGGTGATAGGTTTTGTGTCTTTTTTTTTTTTCTGAGTAAAATGTTAAATATTTATTTAAAAAATAAATTTTTATATTTTAAAAATACACAAATTTCGTTTATGTTATTTATTTAAAAATTTAATTACATTCAAAAAAAAATTTTGAATTTTGAATGTCCTGAATAATAATACCTAAAATTTTTTTGCTCCATTCTCTTTGTGAGAGGATGAGCTTTTTTTTATTTAATTAAAAATTGAATTACATTCAATAAATAAATTTTGATAATTAAAAAATACATAATATTTTTTAGCATATCAAAGTTTAAAAATTAAAAACATATACATATAATTAAATTTAAGATCCCATACAAACTGTAAGCGTTACACCCAATAATTTCTCCTCTCGAAGTATACGTTCTGAAAAAATATAAGTTATTCAGAATGTATAAATGTAAAAATAAGATGTCAACAACGTGGTTGATATTCAAAACAAAATAAAGGATTATTGAGTACACATAAACATGATGAGATAAAAGTGTTAGACATATTTTCGACCAAATCAAAGAAATCAAAAAGCTCAGGATCAGAAACAAGTAACTGATCCTCTAAATTTTAATTTCGGCATATTTAGAATCAAAATACTCTATTTTAGCATAATCGAGTGCGGGGAAACAATCAAGACGACATTGCATTTAATCATTTTCACGTTTAAGCCTTGAAATGACCTCGTCATGATTGTTTGAATTCTGTGAATTGTAAATATCAGCCGAATGTGCCTTGGGTACTGCAATTCTATGCCAATGATAAAATACTTCAAGGTCACAACGTTTGTCATATAATTTTTGCCATATTGGTGTGGGTTCGATATGAGCACCTGGAGGTGGATAATTAGTTACAGGCCTAACAATTACATGTCTAGCTTGTCCGAATGGGTGAAAAGGGTCGATGGGCTCATTGCGGAATGCACGTTTTTGTCCATACCACGTTACACCACTGGAGTCGGTATATGATTCGATAGAAGGAACTTTGTTTAGCGATGTTGAGCTGTCTGTTGAGCGTTCACGTTTGGTACCCAAAGATGAACTATTTTGGTGATTGCGTGAAAAAGAACTTGCATGTGATGTGCTCCTATACATTTTGTTTGATGGTAGTGTATTTACACAACTGTGAAAGGTAGTATATATATGCTCGGTTCGGCATAGTTTGGAATTGATTTGCCAGTGATGAAAAATGACAATGAAAAAGTTTGGATATAACAACACACTGCATAAATTGTTTAAATTGACAACACACTGCATAGATTGACTACACACTACAGAGATTGATTAAAGTGACTACACTGCATACATTGACAATTACAAGATGTGACAATGAAAATGTTGACATATGACAACACACTGAATAAACTTATAAAGCAACAATGACGATTAAAGTAGATAGAACATAGACATAAACATTATATGCTTAATAAGGTGAACAGTAATTAAAATTTTTAATTTTCATCAGACATATACTCATCTGATAGGTATTGTTCATTAGACAAAACCTTAGATCGCTCAGTAGCTGTTAACTCTCTGCCAAATGCAGTTGTCACTATCAGATGCTATTTAGAGCATATAATATCGGCACTTGCGGAGTATCATCCTATTATTCTCCTTTCGTATACGTTTAACTGATGCTTCATAGTTGATTCTATTCTTTCGGGGCATGGTAAGTGAAAGTCTATGTGGCACCGGTATAGCAAGTTTTGTCAAATCTGTGCATAATGACTGTGATTCATTAGCACGAAAAGCCCACTCTCTACGAAGTTCGGCATAATACTCCTTTGGATCAGAAAATCTCTCACTCTTGTAATCATCATCTCGCTCTTGTAATAACCATACTGGTTCATGCCTACGGTTGGTATCACTTGCTTGCGCCCCTGAAATAGACATAATGTGCAATACATGTTATATGACATGTCCTATATTATATTTTTATAGTGATTTTCATTGTCTGAATAAATACATTTGTCAGCAGTTCAGTAGTGTGTAGTCACCATTATGTTTGAGTTGATGGTTAAACAGTAACAAGATATTTGTGCAGTACGCGTGACTACACACTGGTACACAGTGACTTTGACAACACACTGAAAAATGTAGTCTATTGATTTTAATAGACCCTCATTCATCCTACGTCATAGTGATTCACGACCCGTGATACATTTAAAACCCGTGACAACACACTAGTGCTGCTGAATAAAAACTAGTTACACTGACTGATAATTGCATCATTATTAGTCGTTGTGACAACACACTAGGTTGATGTGACTAAACACTGGTTAAATGGCAGCCTGTGTGACTACACAATAGTTCACTGTCAAAAAGTGTCAGTAGATATTATTGTGTAGTCCGTGACTGTGAGTACATAATGTTCTAATGTCAATCGCATACTACCATAAATAAATTGCCTATAAATATGAACTAATGTTAAATGTTCAATGTACATAATTTATCTCTAACAAAGAATTTTAGTCCGAGAACCCTGTTTGAAACTCTGGGTTATCATTGGGCTTTAGAGGATGAGTTCTTTTACCCAATGAATCCTCAGTTACGCTATTCACTAACAGCTATGAACACAATGATGGCGGAATGGCAATATCGCTTGACAGAAAGAGAAAATTTAAGCTTAGATTTACGTTCTTACAACATAAGAAGGCCTCGACAGGTTGCCATTGGTATGCCTATCAACACTCCTCAACAATTAGAGTGAGCATTGTTTCGCATTCTAGTTGAAAATAATCAAATGACAATCCGTTGTAATCGATACAATCTACGCAGTATTACAAGCGACCGTGCTACAGAAGGGAGGATGCAAGAAGCAAGTTTAAGCTACCAATTGAGTGATAAAGTTAGATGTATTTCTGATCATTACTTGTCTAACGAAGATGAAGACCTATGAAGAAGTGTCCTTGAAATCTTGTGTTGTAATGTTTACACTTTCGTCGTCGTACTTGTGTGTGCAATATGTTTATGTATTTTGTTTCTATGAAATATGGTGCACTACTCCAGTTTGTAATGTTCATCTAAATTTAAATAATTTATGTTATGTTATTCAACAAACATGTCTTTAGAGTATTGAATAAATAATCTGAAAGGCAGTAATGAAATAACATTACATAAAACTATGAACACAAACATATTTTATATGCAAAAATAATATTTACAAATTTTATACAAACAAATATAAAAAAAAAAAAAAGACTATGTCCCACAAGGCGGTGGTCTCCTCTGCCGCTTAGGCCGCTGACCATCAGGCAGAGACGGTATATCTTCTATGACTCCACCATCTACTGGATCATGTGTATGGTGTGTATGCCGATCGACTCCATGTCGACCTTTGTCACGACCTATGTGTGACAATGATGGCTCCTGTGTAACTCTCTCAGCTGGAATCTCAACATCATTAGAGCGATCATCGTATGGAATAGGAGAAGTAGGTCGTGTGGGCATCGGTGGAACAATATGTGGAATACATGGCCCAGTAGGTGGAAGTGATGTATTTGCCGTAACGCCTGGCGCTAGTGTAGGTGTGAATGGAGTCGTCGATGCATCAACACCGAGGGAGGTCAGCAGTGGCACACATGATGTAACATTCGGACGATCAAGAGGTGATAAAGACTGATGGTGAACGACCGGTGTAGGAACGTCAAAATTGTAAGTTGGGACATATAGGGTAGATGGGCCTACCTCTGCAATAGTCTGTGGAACATATCTAGTCGATGGGACTGCCTCTGATGGGACATATGTCATAGAAATATCCATGGCCGATGGGGGAGTCTGCTCATGTGGGCGTGTGTTGGAGGTCGAGGTATACGTACTCCTCGCTGTCGTGCAAGAACTGGGGCTACAACAACTGGCTGCTGACTGGCTCCCGGAGGCTGCACAAGTCGTCCATGCTCAAAAAGAGCTGACAAACACCGGTATCTTAGCTCCTCCATCTGCCTAATGACCGCTTGATATCTCCCCATATCAGGCTCCCCACTGACAACATCATGAGCTGTGTGGTAAACTTGTGCAAGTGTCTGTGTCTGTAAAAGAAAAAAAAATAATTATAATCAAAAGCAAATAATTTATGTATCACATTTTATTTAAATACCATGTAAACAACACATACCATCAGCTCCATGATACTGCCGACGAGCTGAAAACCAACTTCAGGGCGCGGTATCAATGGTCCGATAAATAGCCTAGTGATGCGCCGATACCACTCCATGTAAGGATTAGTGGCATCCATCATGTCGAGCGTAGGCTCGCTATGAACAATAGAATCTTGTCGCTGATCCCACATCCTGATGTACCTCTGATGTGCGATTGTTCAATCATAACCATGTCTGCCATGCCTATTTGTGGCATGCAACTCACGACTGGAATCACATGGGGCTGGTATGGGCTGCCTCCATCCAAACTGTCGCATAACACGGTCTAAAAAATACCACTCCACCACATCAAAACCTATGAAGCATGGATACTTTCTCAATGTCGACGTACCTGTATCCGATACCGTATCGGATACGATACTCGTCGGATACTCGATGATACGTATCGGATACGCATCATCCGTATCCGATAATTAATAAAATATGTGGATACTTCACGGATACTTCTAAACATGGTGTAAGATGTACAATTTTTAATTTTAAGCTATAACCCTTCTTTGGAGTTCACATATAATATAAAACATCAACAAAATTCCATCTGATTTTAAAAACACGAGTGTTTTTTAAGTATTATCTATTATTATATGTTAAAGGGTATAAAAAAATGAATCACTTACACTATACTTTTAAAAATAAATACTTGTAAAACCAACTAGTTAAATGTTATTATAATTCCTTTATTTTGTCATGCTCATTTTATGAACAGATCATAATGAGATGATATTATTACCTTTTCATGGTAAAAATTTCTAATTTTACTTACTAATGTTAAAGAATTATTGAAAAATTATAATTTCTAAGTCGTTAAATAATAATCAAATATAAAATATATTTTATTATAGACGTATCTTGGTCGTTCCCGTATCTTATTTTTTTAAGTTTTACCGTATCACTGTATCCGTATCGTATCGTACCCGTGTCACGTATCCGTATCCGTGCTTCCTAGATCAAAACATATGAGCGGGGCCCGGGTAGTCCATAAGTCCCGTCCACGTAAACAGTAATCAGATAGAGTGGCCAACACATCATCGGTAAATGACTGTTATATCATCTATAGTATAAGAAAAAACTAATCATACCAACAAAAAACCACCAACAACCAACAAAAACCAACTACAACACATCCAACAACAACCAACTACAACACATCCAACAACAACCAACAATTACCAATCATACAACACATCCAACAACAACCAACAACATCTAGTAGTTCCACTTGTATACTTGGTCATCGTGCATCTGATCCAACTGATCTCTAAAATGTCTGAGGACATAGGTAGGCGTGTGTTGCTCCAAAAATGCAACATCCCAACTACATATCACAAAAAATAAGATTAGTTGGATGTACAATAAAATACTTAATGAATAATAAAACGTCTTTTACCTACTCCCACGAGGCCCCGGTGATAGGTTATCAAGTGCTGGTACATGTGGTGCAACACCATGTACTAGTGCAGGTGCAGGTGGTACATCATCTACTGGGCCGACATCTTGATGTACATTATGTAAAGGAGCACGTGGGAGTAATCGCTGAGGACGTATATGTAATAAACGCTCCCATGCCCATAACTATATAAAAAAACCAAAAAAGTTGTAGTGTAACACATACATTTGTCATTACAATAAATAATATAAATTTAAATAAACATGAAACATAAGTTTGCATATACCTGTACTAGATCAAGTAATCTGCCGATGTCCTTAGCATCACGTCTAGTGGCGATGCACATCTCCTGATAAAGCCAGGCGAATGCTATGCTACCCCAGCTGTACTGACTAGCTGATGTAAGATCGGCAATTAAAGGAAGGTACATCAACTTGACCTTGCTAGAAGACTTGTCCAAGAAGAGGTATGAACCGATCAGGAGCATGATGTAGGCTCTGGCATAAGAAGCAATAAAATCATCAACGATATATACTAGGACACCTCCATCCAAATGCCCTCGCAATGCTAAAAGTCTGAGGAAAGACCCCTCGATAGCCCCATGCGCTAGTGTAAAACTGAGCAACTGCTGGCATAATGTTAGCCATGTTGTGTCTGCCGGACAATTATCTCTCCCAAACACTGCTATACCATCAATAGGTAGGCCTATGAGAACAACAACATCCTGTAGAGTGATCGTAGCCTCTCCCACCGCAAGATGAAAAGTATGCGTCTCGACATGCCATCTCTCGACAAGCGTGGTGATGAGTGCATGGTCCAGTCGCTTGGATGCAAGCTTGTGTGCCCCGTAAAAGCCAACTTTCACCAAATGATGAAGCACACGTTCATCTGTGACATGTAACTATCGAGCGGTGCGATCACTACACCTGCAGTGCAACAGAGGCAGATCTATGCCATGCCAGATGTCCTCGGATCGATGATCAGTCTGTAATGTAAGAACGGAGTGGTCTTGTGGACCAGGATGTAATAACCGCCGTCCATCGATGTCCATGATGAATAACTATATGAATATACAAAAAACAACATTCACCATTAACCATCAAACAAATCATTACAACAAACATTTAAATACAAGACATTGTACCAAAATGGGACTACAACATAATCACATCGACAAGTCCATTACACAAATGATTATAACATATAACAACATATGAAGCTTACAAAATAACAAAATACAATCTACTGAAGAGATGCTGGAGCCCGCATATTTTTGGATGTACACTTCCGACGATTGTGACCCAGTTCATCGCATAGCCCACAATGTATCTGATTACGACCCTATGGCGGGAAGTCCATCTCATTCCGTATGCGCATCGTCCATGGCTGACCAATCAAGTCTCGACGTTGGTTACGATTAGGGACTAATTTGGGCCGTGGGGGATCATCCCAGTAATGCTCATCCTCTAGAGGAAACATTTCAGGCGCCCAATTTTTTTCAAATTGTCGATAGTGTATATGGGATCTATGTAGGGCTGAAAATGTAATTGAAGATAAGAGCATACAGCCAACACATGCGAGCAAGGAATTCTGTAAATTACCTATTTTCCACATGTGCACAAACAATCTTCAAGACACACAACTTGCTTATGACCACCACCAGTTGACACTTCAACAAGACCACGCTGCCTATGAAATGGCGTCACGTCGTGAACATGACTCATTTGCTGTGCATGTTTTAATTGTTCCATAACACGCTTAGGAAACTCCATTCCATTTTTTTTCCATTTTCCCACTTGGTCTCAATGTTCAAAATGATACTTCGTGACCCGATAAAATATCGACTGCACACAAGCAGTTATGGGCAAATACCTAGCACCTTGAAGAACACTATTAAAAACTTTTGAAATGTTGGTTGTCATGATGTCATACCGTCGTCCACCATCATGTGCTAATGTCCACTTCTCCAATGGTATATCAGTTAAGTATTTATAGGCTTCCTCTTTGACGTTGCGTATCTAGTTTATTAAATTATCGAACTTGTGAACCTGTCTTGCCTTTCCAGCCCTCCACATAAGATCGTACAAATATGCATCCTTAAACTCTGTATTAAAATTACTACGAACATGTCAAAGACAAAAACGATGATAACCATACGATGGATACCATCCAGAATCTTCCTTGTTCACAGTCGCAATGATCCCCTTGTGCCTATCAGAAATTAAACATATCCCTTCCCAATGTCTAAGAATAATCCACCGAATGTAATATAGGAAAAAAGCCCAATTTGATGTATTCTCCTCTTCGACAATAGCAAATGCAAGGGGAAACAACTGCTTATTAGAATCAAAAGCAATCGCCACTAACAGTTTTTCCTTGTACTTTTCACGCAGAAATGTCCCATCAATACTAACAACAGGTCGATAATATTTAAACCCTTGAATGCCCAAAATACTCGTAAAAAAATATTACATTCAGGAGTTTCAAAGTTGTACCACTACTTAACAATTGAGTCAGGGTTATACTTCATGATGGCACCCAAAAACTTTGGCAACATGTCATATGATGAGTCCTAATCACCGAAAATCTTAGCAATTGCTTTGTTCCTCGCAATCCATGCTTTTTTATAGGAAATATCAAACTTGAACTTCTCCTTTATATTCTTCTGAATTGTCGACATTTTGGTTTGTGGTGTATCACCCACGATTCCCATTATATTATGACAAATGAAGTCAAAGTCTAACTGTCGATGGTCACGACTCATCCTAAAGTAGAAGCAGGTATGTGGTCCATCAAATTTCGTGATCTGAAATATTTTTATTTTTTTCCTAAAACAAGCACGCAGTCTCCATGTGTAGTTAGGCTGCATATACATGATACACTGTACAGTCCACACAGTTGTGTTCGTCTCGACCACAATAAAATCTTGATTCAACTTGATTGAATACCATTTAACAGTTCTAATCAATGAAGCTTGCTCCTGACAAAATCATGCCCTTCGCTAACTCCATCTTCACCGGATTCCACAAATTCTGTTCAACTGACGGTATAAAACTATATGCTTTAGTATACTGGCCAAATTCAGTGGTTATGAATGAGGTAGAGTAAGGCTTATGCATCTCCACCACTTGAGCAACCTCAAAGGCTTCACCATTATCATCTTCGTCATCCGGCTCATCAATCATTACTTCCTCAAACTTTTCTTCTTCGTCTTCATCATCGGAGACATCTGCACGATCATTAGCACACATTTCTTCATATTCCTGAATTGTGCATTGTTGCATTACTGGTTGATAGACATCATCTTGTTTATCCTATCTCAATTTCCCCCTCACCCATTTCAAAATTTTGACTCAGAGAATTGTTGGTTGAGTTCCCACCGTATGTCGTGGTTCTTGTTCTTTGTTGGGTGTAAAAGTATTACCCAGACTCATCCATTACTTGCATCCCAACAGAAGTTGAACATTCATCTATCACAACAGAAGTTGGAAATGGCAATGGACCCATCTCTCGCCTAAGCAACTCAGTGTAAGACATGACAATTATGGTTATGCACCCTCTGGTCTGACTATTGCCTATGCCAGCATTGATGTCCTCCGTCTCAACGTACAAAGCAACACTAGCAATGCTGGAGTTGTCAAGTACCACATTAACCATTGAGGTCACTAGTTCATTGTTGACAATTTTTAGACCGACATGTGTATTTATGTTTGGTCTTGGTCCTATTCCAACTGTAAAATGATATCTACATGTCAACTTCAACTTGTTATGTGCCCTATCTAACCCCATTACAGTGTAAATTTTACTCAATAACTCCGAAAGTTGTATACCACTATTGATAACAATACCACATTTGGGAGGACAATTGTATGATAAACCCTCCGAGCCATAACTCATTTGTCCACCCCCCAATATAACAAAATGGTAACTTGTTTCCCCGCCTTTTCAATTAGTTTTGGATGTAGAATAAGTTTTTAATTCAGAAGAATCTAAGAATAGATAGAAACTATCAATTAGAAAATCTACAATGATGAAATGTACTTGTATGATACTTAGAAAGATGAAGATACAACTTTTATATGGAAGTTTGAATAAATAATCCCCACAAGAGGGTATCTCCTTAGATGTTATCATGCATTGAATCAAAAGTGAAACATGTTATCAAGAAGCCAAACAATGTAGGCAATTTTTTTGGCTAACAAGGCAGTAATTGAACAACATTGACAACTTTATCAAAATTATCAGGACTATCCAACTCAAGGATGACAATACTGCAGTTTCTTTGAGTGATTCAAAATCAACATGCTTATTTTGAGGTAAATATGGTGTTTGATACCTAAGAGAAATAAATACTGAACTTCGATTAAGATTGAGAGACAGACATGGAATAGAGAACCTACATAATGTTTTAGTGTAATTCTCTCTAAAAATTACTAATGTTTATACTTGACACCCAATCACAATTAACCTTTTGGAAAGAGTAATCATGTCTTAGACTAGAACTTCAATTATGTTAGGAGTGTAGACGATACAATATGAGTTGTTATTGTGATCCTATGAGTTACAATATGAGTTGCTATTGTGATCCTAAATATGGGCTACCATATTAAAAAGGGAAAATAATTATAGGAACCAACATAATGAAAAAACAACTCAATCACCATCTACCATACTAGTTGATGCCAAAAATTCAGATTCTTCAAAATATAACCTCCCCCAAACACAAATAGATAGCCAAAAATTCAGATTCCAAAAATTTAGATTCTTCAAAATATAACCTTCCCCAAACACAAAAATGGAAAACCATCTAAGCACTTTACAAATAAGTGATTTATAATTCAGGGATGTCAAAACACTGTTCAAAATTATAAATAAGTGATTTGACACCCCAAAATAACAACTCCCTCCGGAGTTGCTCTAATTATAGTAGTTCGAATTGGTTGGGTAGTCCTACAGATGAGTTTTGCAGACATTTTCTAAGGACAATTATCTTGCCACTAAGGCGGGTACTCAATAACTCTTCGACCACCCACCATTGATGCTTCTTGGTTTACCAAAGCCACATTTCAAAGGTAGAGAGAGACTGATTACCAGAGTTCTTTTGATTTTCTGTTTGTTATTGTGTAAATTTCTGTCAATGTTGATTAGCATTGGAATGTAACTCTTGGATAAGTCAAATCCCTTTTTTTATCAGATATATCAAACCCAGATTGTCTTATTGTCTTATGTTAGTGTTCATAGTTAATCATGAATTACTTATATATTTCTTGATTTTTCGAAAATACTAATGTGGGCAATATGCTTCTTAATTCTTAAAGAGTACTGCAATAATTCAATTTCTCTCATTTTTTGAGTTTTTCCTAGCCAAAACTATTGGTTATAGAATCACAAACCAAAAAAATTAGAATCTCATAGAGAACAATACATGAGAATTATAATAATTCAGAACCCCCAATTCTTCATAGAGGCATTAGTGTTTCTATTAGCATCATTTAGTCATGGCTACGATTTGTATAAAGTTCTGAGGTATCATTTCATAGCATTAATCATTCTAAAAAGTATGAGAAATCAAATGCATGCTTTAGAAACAATAACCCAAGCTAAATTGGTATTCATCAAGAAGCGAGAGGAACCATTCAAGTCAATCACTAAAGCTCATGGAAAAAAGTAAAACAAAAACTATCATTTTATTAATGAATATTTATCAAACGAACGTGAATAATATAGCTTGCCCAAAACAATTGTTCGAATCAAAAGGTGGTACCTACCCAAAACAATTGTTGGGATGCACACCCATGCAACCTCATAAATTGCAAGTTAAAAATAACCCAGAAAATGTAAAAGCTGAAAGTAGGGAACAAAAAGACTGGGATCATTTTATTTTCTAAAGAAGAATTGAGATTAAGAAAAAAAATTAAAACAATAGATATAATCAATCATTGTCATGTTTAATGGATGTATTTGATGGAATAGGATAAACTTGAATGTATTTGATGGAATGTAGCACATAAATCGGTTCAATCCTTTGTTTATATGCAATTAAAATATCAACTTTAGCTTATTGACTACTCATGCATAAATCGGTTCAATCCATTGCTTTTAGCTTATTGACTATTGAAATGAAATCATTTTAATGACAATTTTTCTGATCCCTGAATTTGTTCCTGTAGATGAATTATTTGATTAGCATTCTACTAGTCATTAGAGTTTTTTTAAACTTGACAGTTGCTTCTATTTATATTGAAATAGCAATGAACATATACCATTTGGCTAAGTTGAATGAAAGTTTGCAGTTCACTAAGACTCGAAACTTCCATGACTGTGAAACCCCCAATGCGTATTACACTGAAAAACATTAGCTGCAAAACCATTAAACTGATGTTGAGCTCAATTTTATTGATGTAGTTAAGTTTTTTTTTCGCTTTTATGGCAGATTTGTGTTTTTTGTAAGCACCTCTGAAATTCTCAACAGGTTTCTAAGAATTGAAAGAGAGATTTTGCATCCATTTCAACAATTAACAACCCATTTCAACAATTAACATCTATTTTCATAGAGTCAACAACCCATTTCATACAATCAACATCCCATTTCATACAATAATAAACCCTAACATCCAATTTAAAAACTATAAATCATCCATAAGAAGCTTTGAACCCAAACAACAAATAAACTAAATCAATAAAATGATTTGGTAAACAAATAAACTAAATCAATAACCCAAAAAGCTTTGAACCCAAACAACATACCTTTTAGCCTGCGATGCTAGTGGTGGGCTTTCGATGTTGGGTGGTGCTGTTTCGGTGGTGGGTGGTGTTGCGATGGTGTAGGGTGGTGGGTGGTGTTGTGATGGTAGGGGTGTAGCGATGATGTAGGATGGTGGGTGGTGGTCTTTTGGTGGTGGGTGGTGCTGCTATGGTAGGTGGTGGTTGTCGGAGGTGCGCCTGAAGGAGGTCAGGGGTGGTGCTGCTGGGTCGTCTAATTGAAGGTAAGACAAATAATTTGGAGAAAGAAAGTGTGATGAAGAAAGAAAGAAGAGGGAAAAAGAAGAGGGAATCGAGTTCAAGCTAAAGACGTCAAACAGAATGACGTTTCTTATAAAAACGTCAAACTAAATGATGTTTTTAAAAGTGGGCTAATTAGGTAGGCTAAGCTACAGTATTGAGCTAAAAAACATAAAATGGACTGACGTTTTTAGGATAAAAATGTCAGTCCATTTGACGTCTCTATCCTAAAAACGTCAATTGGTTTGAAATTTTTAAAAACTACCTATATTTGAGAATTAATTTTAAAATTACCCTTATTTGAGACTTTTTTTTAAAAATGTATAAGATAGGTCAAAAGCTCATGGTGTGTCACATAATCGGAGTCAAAAAATCAATTTTAATTGCTCGCTGACTATTCAACGCTAAAATAAAGGTTACTAGGGAGAATCATTGTGGTAGGAGGATTGCTTCTTGACTATTCAAAGTTGTGCAGAGGTTGATTGCTTCTCTAATCTCTCTCTATCCATATTTTTTTTTTTGGAAAAATATTATGGTTTCTAATTTTTTTTATTAAATCATTCGTCCTAAAAAATGTGATACAATTTTTATCATTGAACATTAATAAAAATTAATCATCAAATGGTAAAAAATTGTCTCACATCATTTAGAATGAAAATTTAATAAAAAAATTTAATAAGTATAAGAGTACTTTTTTTGTCTATATATATATATAGATATGTTTGATGTTTGGTTCAAACAATTTGATGTTCTAACCTTAGAACTTGTTTGATTGTCATATTATAAGAATAGATTGTATTAGGTAATACATGTTAATTATGTACAAATTGACAAAAATATAAAATTAAATATGAGACAAAAATATTACGTATTATAATCTAATCTAATGTTTGATAATACATTGGATTAAGAATGAGATAATATAATAAAAATTACATATTGATTAAAAATTATCAATATTGTATAGTTATTAATATTTTTGTTTATTTATTGAATAAAATAATAAATTTATAACTTAATACACTTGAATTGAACTATAATACCACCTCCCTAGGTGGTATTATAATCGGTTCAACAATACGAATAGAGTATATTATTTAAATAAGCAGTGTATTATTTGAATAAACATTTAAAAAAAGATTATATACAATAGTGAGAGTTTTTTGCAACCAAATACACTATAAAGTTTGATTAGAAAGTCTTAATTTATTATGAATTTATAATCTACCCTTTAATATTACAATTAAACGTACCTTTAAAGTTTTTATATACTTGCAGAATGACTTCGTATCAAAGTACACAATGATCCTAATTTTTATACAATGATCGAATGGGTCCATTCTAATTGATATAATAAGAAAATAAAAAGATGAAAATAGCTAATTATGTTTATAAATAATATTGCCAAAAAAAACCCAGTTTTGATGTTTCCACTGTTTAGTATCTGTTTTCTTTTTTCTTTTTGTTTATTTTTTTGTAAAAAAACCCTGAACTGAAAAGGTCCTAGATTTTTTTTTTCTTTTATTTTTGGATCTAATTCTCTTTGTGGATGTTTCCCGTTGTGCTAACTTGTTAGACCGTGAGTTTTTTTTTTCTTTGTTTTAATGTTGTGGTGATATAAATTTTGAAAACACAATATTACTCATAATTATTATATCTAATAAGTGAGTTTTAGAAAAATGTGTTTTAGTATTTTTTGTATCGCAAATTCTACATAATATAAAATAATAAAACTTATTTTAAAAATAACCCATAAATAATTAAAAAAAATGTGGTAATTTGGAGTTAGTGGTGGAAATGTGGTGGTAGTGGTGATGATTTTTTAAATTTTGAAAAAATTATTTCAAAAAACATACAAAACAATTTTAACTTGTTTTTTACCGTCCACTTTTTGTTTTTAATTTTTAAAAAATAAAATAAAAAATAATTGAACAAATAATTTTTCTCCCAAAAATTATTTTTAAAAATAAAAAAATGGGGATACAAACCAAAACAATACCTATGTCTTTATAGATTCAAAATGGCTTGTCCTAAAGCTATGGGATTGTACAAGTCGGATCCTTTGAATAATAGCCAACACTTATCCACAATATCAGAGGCTCCAATTTCCCCACACATCATACTAATTGCCCCATGATTTTCAACACTCAAACTTCACATCATTTCAGCAGCCTGTTCTCCGAGTAATGCACAGTCACCCACTTCGCCAAAGCAAGAAACAGAGAAAAACAATGGCCGATAACAACCCAATACGTTTTGGTATCATGGGATGTGCTGAAATCGCTAGGAAAGTGTCCAGAGCCATCCATCTAGCTCCCGATTCAATCCTTTACGCCATCGCCAGCCGTTCGATCCAAAAAGCGAAACAATTCGCCGTCAAAAATGGTTTGTCGGAGACAGTCAAAGTCTACGGAAGCTACGATGAATTGCTAGATGACCCATGTGTTGATGCGGTGTATATGCCTTTACCAACTAGTCTTCATGTTCAGTGGGCAGTCATGGCGGCGGAGAAGAAGAAGCATTTGATGCTGGAGAAACCAACGGCTCTTGATGTGGGTCAGCTTGATCGGATATTGGAAGCTTGTTCTGTGAATGGTGTGCAATTTATGGATGCAAGTATGTGGTATCATCACCCTAGGACTGCCAAGATAAAGGAGCTTCTCTCTGATTCAAAGACTTTTGGGCAAATTAGAGTGGTATAAGTAGAGCTCAACACTACACTAGCACTCAATTCGATTAAAAGATAAGGGTTAATTACATTTTTCCCGCTCAAATTATGGGATTTCGCTTTTCCCTGCTCAATTATTATATTTTTCATATTGTGCCGTTTTCAATTATGATTATTAGTTTGATATTGCCTTAGTTATTACTATATTTTTATTTTTTTTTTGGGGGAGGGGGAGGGAAAAGCGGGGTTGAACCTTTATTCTCAAGAAAATAAAGTCTTTACGAGGTAAAAATTACCATTGTACCACAGGTCCATTGGTAGATTAGTTATTACTACATTTGCTCTCGAATTATGTGATTTTATTTGGTTTTGATTTGATACATTGATTTTTTCGATCCCAAAGATAATGGTTGTTTATGTTTGACACAATGGAAAACCAATTCAAATAGCTGAAGGGACAATTGGAGAAATTCAATAGTTTAACGAGTAAGGTGAGATGAATGTCATAATTTGGAGGGCAAAGTGTACTTATCCAAAAGGTAATGTTCCATATTTGGACAGGATTAAAAGACAAATCAATAGTTTAGATGTTTCATGTATTGTACTTCTCAGTTTCAATATGATTACTAGTTCCATGTTTTCTCTGTTACAGAAATTTGATAGAAATTGGACGGAAAGTTGTGTTACTCTACTAGCCCCTCCAACTATGCGATTGTCTTTCTGTTTGTCTAAAAATCTAGTGGCGTGAGGATATTTTTTGTTAAAATTGTAACAAGCATTTGGTTCTGGGACAATGTGGGGAACTCAATAGTGGAGGAGTGGTGTGAGATTGGGGTTGTAGTTTAAGGATGTAGGATGGTTCTGTTTGTCCACCCAACTGATGTAATCACCTTTTCCCTTTTTATTCTGATTCATTAAAAGGGTGCTGCATAGCATATGGTAATGGTGTTTGGTAAGGCGGCATAGTTTTTAGTGTATGTCATGGCAGCTGTGTCTGCTCAGGATGTGGTCTCATAGTTTTCTAGACAGGGAGAGTAATTTCACAAGACATGAAGCCAATATCGATTGATCTCTGTAAACTTGGTGGATGAGGGAGAAATTTACCTGTAACATTCTGTATGTGTACTTGAGATCCTACTATTTAATTATTTTTATCGATCATTTATAGATAAATAGTAATAGATTCTCAATTGTTCCTGTGGTTTTCAGATCCACAGCTCATCATCATTTTTAGGAACCCCAGAATTCCTTGAGAAACGAGTAAAACCAGACTTGAATGCCCTTGGTGCACTAGGAGACGCAGGCTGGTACTGCATTGGAGCTATCATGTGGGCAAAGAACTACCAATTGCCAACAACTGTAACTGCTCTACCTGCCATAGCCCGAAACACAACTGGAGTCATCTTATCCTGCAACGCCTCATTACACTGGGACAAAGAACAAACAACTGCGACCTTCTACTGCTCCTTCCTTTCAAATGAATCCATGGACTTGGCAATCTCAGGCTCTAATGGATCGCTTAATCTGGAGGACTTCATAATTCCTTTCACAGAGACTTCTGCTTCATTCGAGTTCACGTCTGGTGCCAAGTTTTTGGATCTCCACATTGGTTGGAATGTAAAATCCAAGAGAGTTCAAGTAACTTCTGAGCTTCCACAAGAGGCTATGATGGTTCAGGACTTTGTGGAACTGGTGAAGGGCATTAAACATTCAGGATGCAAACCAGATGGCAAATGGCCTGAGATTAGCAGAGTGACTCAATTGGTAATGGATGCTGTAAATAATTCTATAGATCTTGGTTTTAAACCTGTTACTATGTAATTATCTGGTCATTATTGGCTTTCACTAATCATAAAGAGAATTTACAACACGATTTGAAATATTGTTCGAGGGACATCTAAATACATCATCAGTGTTAGTTTATATTTTGTCACAGTGAGAAATTTACGAATAGTGGGCATTAAACAACATATTTCAACGAGCTTAATTACCTGTTTGTTTCTCTCTCTCTCACTCTCTCTACCTAGTATCACTGGGGAAGCACCCATATGGTTTTGTCATACTTAGTAGCTGCAGTTATATTGGCTCGTTGTTAAGCAGTGATCACTGTGGACCAGGAAAGAAGCTTTTCTAGGATAAGGTTTCTTGTTAAAGAAATGCATAGAGAAGGAAATGAAGCCTGTGAATAACATAAAATGATAAATCAACGTTGTGGTTGATAATAGTTATTAGTTTCTTGTTGGTACATTTGACACATTACAAGTGATTACTGATAGGATAAGGCCAGAGTCTTTACCCGTTTCTCTTCTTAGTTCCTCAAAACCCTTCCATTCCAAATCCTTAGAACACGGCCAGAGACTCTCCCTCCAACTCCTCTAATCAAGAGATAAAGCTCACCACAACCTCCTAAGCAATGCTATTCGAATTTAGAGGATCTATTTTTATTTTTTTTAATATTGGATTAATAGTGGGGTTTGACATTTATAAGTCCATTATTTATTTCATTGGCACTTGGGTCTGAAATTTGCTGCAAGTGCGTTGTTGTTAACGACCAAACATTGGGATCCAAGCTAGTGACTGATAGAATCCGAGGATACATTCTACTCCATTTTGTGACTAAGCCGATGAGGCTCTTTGTGTGATTTGAAGATAGACTTGAGGCGATTCAGTGTGGGTGAACACGGGAATTGAGTATTCAAGAATTGCAGTTTCAAAAGAAGCTCTTGCTTATCTACTGCGACATGCTGCCCCGTTAAGTTACAACAGGTTAACTTAGCGTTCTAGATGGCACTCAAAGCAATCCGTTTGTTTGGGTATTGGGGAGATGTATTTATGGTGTTTGAAAATATGCCACAAAGAGATGTTTGTTTATTGGAACTTGTCGGATTTGTTCGAAAAGATAATCTTTGAGGCTTTTAAAACTTTTATGAGGATGCAAAAAGTGGGTATGGGGTTTAGCCGGGTGGCCAGATTATGAAATGGGTTGCAAAACGTGTGTTCTACTGCATTGTTTGGTAGAACGGGAGTTGCGTTCTGGTTGAATGCTACTTGAGATCACCATGCTTGTTCACTGGATATATAAGGTAGAGCTGGGAGAATCGGGAAAGCACTACAGTTATTGAAAAGCTTGTGGGGTTTATTACTCTTCGTGCCAACTTTGCTGCAATGTTTCTCTTGCAGAGGTAATTGCAAAATGGTTGCTTGAGCTCGAACCTTACAATCCAAGTAATTATGTGATGACAGATGTTTTTGTAAATGCAGCGATATGGAAGGATCTAAAGATGATGAGAGCCATAAAAGGGGAAGGAGGGCAGCGCAAATAACTTGCTATATTGTCCAATAAGTATCACAAATAATCTCCATGTTTGTTTGCTACCATTGGATGAAGTGTGTACCTGAAGTCAAGGACTTATACTGGGAGACAAAAACCTCTACACCATTAGAGTAAGTTCTGCCTACTTCAAAAAAGCGCAATCTACACACTAGCCTGAATGCGCTATGTGATTTCATGGTCGATGGCACAAGTCTAATTAGGATTGAGGGTTTATATCTAATTCCAATTGTCTTGGATCAAGGTGAGCAACCATTATGGTACAGAGGTATGGCGAACATCTGTTTAAGCTTCAAAATGTATATGATGTGCTTGCCTTTTTTCAACTAACAACATGCCTGTGCTTCGTTTTGGTGAGAATAAACTCTCAAATGAAGTAATAGTGTAAAATTGCATATCACATTAAATCTTTATATAGAAAAAAGGTATGCTTGTGTAGTCATTTCATTGTTTGAATTATTACTAAAAAGAATGTTACATAAGTTCAGTTGGCAAGTATTCTAGATTTTGGACTCAATTAAAAATCGATCAGTAAACTAGACACGATGAGATCGATTACGAAGGTTGTATTTTCTTGTAATTGTGGAGGTTGCAACCGAATTCTCTCCTACTTCCTCTGGAAGCATAAAGTCTGGGTCTTGTAATTTGTCTACATCTTCTGGTAGCTCAGTGTCAACCCACGAAGACCAGTTCACCTCACTATCCATGTCCCACAATGACTCTTTGTTTCTTTGCATGCCATTGACTTTCTCAATCAGTGTAGCTAGCATCTGGTGGTTCAACATTTCATAGTCTCTGCACAATAATCAATATAGACACTTGAATATATTACTTATATGAAACGGATCTCAAGACCAAGATTACTCAAGTTTGTATTTTCACCTGTATGTACAAATGGCATATAGAAGTTGGATTGAGGCAAGAAGCACAAAGAAGGATCTAACGATACATATTATCCATGCTTGTTGTTCGACGTCATTCGTGTTGTACCGTAGTATAGTGAATTCAATCAAGAATGCAACACATAAGCCTGCAAATGAAAATCAAATGTAAAGCAACAATCTTGAGTCTAAAACCTATTCTATGTTTCATATTTCAGAAGATAAAAGCTGATTGATTGATTAATTACCTATATAGAGCCTTGGTCTCACAGTGTGTGTTTGCTTTGTACTGGTGAACATGTAGAGCACAAAGATAAATATTGAGTAGACAAAGAAAGTTTTAATTAGTCGTGATTCAAGGAGCATAGCATTGTGCAAGGCAAAGAGCTTGTCTATGGCAATGAACATGCTTGCTTGCTTTGATTCAAAAGCTTCCTGTAAAACAGAGAGGTTGCAATTGATCAAACAATTATGTGAAGTAAAATAAGCAGTTGCTTAAATGTAAGAATGTAAAAACTAACCTGAGCTTCCAATATTGTCTTTGAATTTTCAACCAGATGATCATGAGCTTGTTTAAGTTGTTCTTGCCGTTGAAGAAGTTCTTCTTGTTGTTTATGCCCAAATTCAGCTAACTGTTGTAGAGTACCCCTGTATATTTAGAAACTAAATGACTAATTCATATTCACTTATATAAATCGTCTTGGATTTAATTTTGATAACAAAAGCTTCTTGTCTATTTTACCTGCTCTCTTCGAGTGCTTGGGACTGGAATTTAGTTAAATAGTGAAGACCCTCAAGAGCTACAGACTGCCCATTGAGAAGTTGTTTTTGCTTGTCTAAGGATATTCCTGCCATATTCCCAATATCATCAGCTTTGGTTTGCAGACTTTCCATCTTCGAAGACATTGCATCTCCAACTTTATTGATCTCCTTCTCTATTTCTACTGCTTCATTCTTTAAGTTAGTAATTTCTTGTCCCAAATTATCATATGAATCATGAAGCATTGCCATCCCTTCCTGCAACTTTTCCCTCATTTTTTCTTGTCCTTCCCGCAATTCTGACTGAGAAACTGCAATTCCTTTGGATTGAGTATATATTTCTTCCGAGTGCTTTAACACAACATTAACATGATCTTCTACATTCTTTGTAGTTTGAGCCACTTTTTGTGTTTGGAGGTCAATTGAAGCTAAAGAATCATGGATTTGATTTGAATTCTGCAATAGATGCACAGCATGCTCTTCTATGTTCTCTAATTTCTCTTCTGCATATTCAGCAGACTTCTTTAGCTCATTCACTAAACTCTCTGTTTGACGTTTGAATGCATCAGTCCTACGATAAAACAGTCCAAAATTCAGTATCCATGATAAAAAAGGGTTCAACAAAAGACCAAAACACACACACACTTTTAATATAGACAAACACGCGCGCACACACCTATGTATATAGACATCCACACAAACATGTATATGGGGAGAGAGAGAGAGAGAGAGATTTAACTGTAACTGATGACAGATGGAGTTGGTCTCAAGGTAGAACTCAAGATAAATCTTATGAGCATCGACATCCAAGTTTTTGAGACAATTCACCATGGTAGATTTAAGGTTGCAATAAGGGAAAGCAGGCCTCCCCGATTCCTTTTGAAAGCAATCACTAAGATGCCAAGCAAGCCTCGACCGCTTCTCTTCGTCAGCAAGAATCTCGGAACAACCTGCAAATAGATTCCGATAAGCATTCTGCTGACAGGTAGAACTCGACGCAACCAACTTTCTTCTGGCCATTTCAACCAGCTTCATTCCCTTCTGGTTGCTGAGAGGTTCCATAGAGAATTCAGCAACTACATCACCAGAAATTGCCATGTTCTCTGAAGGGTAATCCGTTGAAGGAGCCTCTTTGGAAGAAAAAGACCAACCCCATGACTGGCAGTTTTGTGGAAGCAAGATACAAACGAACAGGAACCAGAGGTGATGATTATGATGACCCATCTGAGTTGTTATGTTCCACCTGAGTTACACATTCCAAATTCAATATCTTTAGATGGATACATATATGTATATGTGTGTGTATATATATGCCTTTTAATATACACAGAGGTCTAACTATCTAAGAACGAGGATTAAAACTTGGCGGGCAAGAAAAGGAAGGCAGAGAGATTATAACCTGAAAAGGACAGACATGGAAATAGAGTTGTGGGCAGTGGAAAAGATAAATAGAAAGGTTAAAACTAAATTATATTTTGATTATTTACAGCATAACTAGAAAGAGACATACCAAATAAAAAATAACACCACCAGATATGTACAAACTACATGAATTTTGATCAGTTTTCGTTGCTTCTTTGATTTGTTTTAGGTGGCATTCACATGGAGATCATTAACACAATATGGGAAAAAAATGAAAAAAATGCCATGTTTTTTTAACAATAAAGCTATTTGATCTTAATCTAAAGATTTAGGACAATGTTTTTTTTTTTTATCAAGTAGGACAATGTTCTTAAAACTTTCCAAATGGGTCTCTTTTGGGTCCATTTTTAGAAATTCTACTACGTTAAATCACCTATCATAAATTTTATTGAAAGGATTTCGGTTCATATAAAAGTGTACGATATATGACAGACCAGAATCTAAAATCTAGTATTTGCATAATTCAAATCCATAAAACAGAATTAAAAAAAAAAAAAAAGAAAAGCAAAACGCATAAAACTGCTGCAATAGAACAGAAAAATAAACAGTCTAGAGAGACGAGAGAGAAGGATCATTCATAGGTGATCACCGACGACTAAAAATCATCAACAAGCACGACGTAATGTTATTTTTACTCTTGAAAACAGTAAGTCTTTTTTTTTTTCGATTAACAAATACAAATTCATCACACAATATAACTACTTACCAAATTTCTTTTTTTTTTTTGACAACCTCCATTGTTCCTTTTTGTTTTTCGTATTCAACAATCTTTCACAGTTAATGTTTCTTTTCAACGGTGATTGTAGTATTCTACACAAAGAGAGAGGGAGAGAGAGAGATACCCGGTGACGTATACTCTCTAAAATTGGTTGATTGTGGTTTGGTTTGTTTTAGAAAACGGTCTCGGTAAGACTGTGTCCGTGTGCTGTGTTAGCATGCGAGGGAAGATATATAAAGACTTTAGTACGTTGAAAGACACAAATGAAAAATTATAAAAAAAATAGAGGTGACTCTTGGACAAGAAAATTATTATAAAAGGATGCCTTCTTTTCAACAGGTATGTACGTGACCCTTAAAATTCACTCACCTACCATATCCTTATTATAACTCATGGAAATTTTCCCAAAGAGTAATGGTAGTTATAGTTGATTTACTATTCAGGGTTTCTTTCTTTTATGATTCAGAAATAGAAATTTTCAATTTCGTTTTTGCTGTTGATTAACTTTAATTAATTTCAGGATGATTCTTATACTTTTTTCAGTTTTTACCATGTTTGTATGTCACATACCTAATTTGTAACATGTTCTAGAATGATCATAAGTGAGTCCTGCATTCATTAATAATTGATAATTTTTCAATAAAGAAAATAAAATAATAGAAGGATGTTAATTATCAAGGTATAGATGAATTTGAATCCGGCCAGGGAAGTAAAAACACATGCTAGGATGTCATTCCATGTTTATCTAGAGTAATTATGTTGCGATTCTATATCGGTTAAAAAATAAGACTAGATGTTTGTATATAAACTCTTGGATATCATTCCCTTTCAAACCAAGTTTTAGGGATAAGTTCTACCCATTTATAGTATAAAATAGAATAGGCTTCAATAAGTCTATCGGATAGTCTATTTACCTATTATAATTTTATAATATAAAATAAGTCAGACTTTAATAAGTTTATCTGATAATTTTAAATAGATTTAACCAACGACTACCAATATCTCTCTGAAAATCATTCATATAAAAGGCGCCCAATGGTCTCTCTTACAATTGTGACTATTGTCACTAAAAGTAAATGATTTTTTTTCTAGCAAAAAAATGATTTTTCTTTTCTAGGAACTAATTATTCTCGTGGCATATGTAAAAAAGAGATATGATTCAACCACATATGGCACTGTATTAAACTTAAGATCATCTATATAAGAATTATACTTGCCCAATTCAATGACCAAAAGTTTTTGTTTCTTCCTTTTTTGGCATAAGTTCAATAAAGCAAAGTTGAGGTACTAAAGGGACTCAAGATTAATGAGCAAATTCACACCCTCTCACACATGAATGATATATACAATCAAAGGTCATTCATAAAACAAAACTGGCGTACAATAAGACTCAAATTTGATACCTCGAGAAATAATAGAATTGAAACTATATGTAAAACAACTGATTACTCCTAAAAAAAGTACACATGTCAAGTTCTTATTACAAACAACACAATTTTTTGCAGACATGGTCACAAAATTTAAACTAGCAGGATCTTTAATTCATCAAAACAAAAACGTCAGCGGCTAGTGGGCCCCCTTTATTACTAATTTGGACAAGCTTTGACTTCATTTTGATAGGGTAAGTGCTTGCCGCGTAAAAAAGGCTAAGAAATTCCCTTTGATCATGATAATATGGCATGGCTAGTGGAGAAGCAAGCTGTAACAAATGAAAACCCTGTAATCGATTCTGTATTCATTGATCTGGACAGGCTAACGTCCGGCGAACTCAGTGAATGAGGCAGTGGCATTGGATGTTAGCGACTGCGTCGATGTAGTTGTGTCCACAACAATTCTCTTATCGGAGTCAATGAAGGTAGGCCTCGTCGGCGGTCTCTGCTCTAGTGAACGATCACTACAAAGTAAAACGACGACTTCGGACATTGTTGGTCGGGCAGAAACGGGTGACTGAGTGCACATCAGAGCAATCTCTATGATTCTCTTCACTTCTTCTGCATTGTATTCACTTGAGTCTAAGGTATCATCAACCAACTTCAAATGCATGCCAGCTTCGTACAGTTTCCATGCCTATTTTATCATGATTGGAAACCACAAAATCAGCCAAAACTTAGCAAAATCTCATATAAGATTCAAGTTAAAAGTGGAAAAAAAAGTCTAACATGCAAGTGAGTGGTATCAATCTAGTCATGCCCTGGTTGTAGTATTTTGGATCCGTGTCTAATCCCAATCAATTCTAACCCGACCTGTTTAATTAATTAAGTCAATTGTTCTAGCACCAATCCGACTTGTTTATTAGAAGTTTTGTGTGGAAGGTTGCAACCCTGATCTTAGCCAATAAGTTGATTAAATATAGGCACCATAAATGTCTATGACATACTTTGCAGGTACAGACTGACTGTCTGGGAGATATGCTCATCACACAAATTAAGAGATCAAATAAAGGTTGACAGCATAGTGGGTATGAATTAGACCTTGATGTTATAATCTTGAGGAACTACCTGTTCAAGGAGGAATTCAGAGACAGTCTCATCACTCATCACTTCTGTGGTCCTCCGGCCACTTATGATTTCGAGAACAACAACACCGAAGCTGTATGTGTCAACCTTCTCAGACAACTGTCCATGGATGGCATACTCTGGAGCTGTGTAACCCCTGAGGCATTAGTAGCAAACATCAATGAAGAACTTCAACAAGTAATTATATTAGCAATAGTGTGGTGAATAAATTGGTCTATTTCATAGTAAACTACTGTTGCATACAAGATAACTACTTAGAGTCTCAGAAATAGCCTCTCCACACACGGGATAACAGTTCATACATCAAACCCTCTTGAGACCTCGTGGAGACAAGATGTTTGATGCACTCCGATGGTATGACTCTTGAACAAGCCATTGGCCAGCAATTTGAGTGTAAAAGGTAATATGATGTAATCTATTTGAGTGTTAAAGGTACTATGAACACCCCAAAAAAGGCATCAAACTGTGTAAGCGATTGTTGTTTATGACTCACAAGGTCCCAGCAAATCTGGTGCTAAGATGACTCTGATCCTCAGGTAGAAGTTTTGCCAAACCAAAATCAGCAATTTTGGGCTGGAAAAAATCATCCAGCAAAATATTGCTGGGTTTTATGTCCCTGTGGATGATGCATACATGGAATTGCTCATGTAGATAGGCAAGGCCCCTAGCTGTGCCGAAGATTATATCAAACCGTTGTTTCCAGTTAAGAGCTCCTCGCTTTTCACCTGTTAATCATGAAAATTTAGTCAAGAGGTTTGTACACTAGGTACAACCCTTTTTTATCCTTTCCAACCCACAAGTTTTAAGCAGTATGCATCAATGTAGCCACAGTCTTTAAAACTGTATTGGTAAGGGTAATTTTACCATATAAGAATTTGTCAAGGCTTCCGTTCGCCATAAATTCGTAGACAAGAAGTAGATCTGGTCCTTTGGTACTGCATCCCAAGAGACGGATGAGATTCCGGTGATGAACATTACTTATAAGCCTCACTTCAGTCTCAAAATCTGCCTTTGCTCTACTAGTGGCTATGGCTAGTTTCTTCACAGCAACAACATTTCCATTTGTCAAGGTGCCCTGTAAATTGAAATCAAAGTGAAGTTGAGACCCAAGGAATCAATGAGCAACAAAATGAGTGCAAAATTCACAAAACAACCAAAGGGGAAGTATCAAAAGATTGATTTTGCAATGACCCAAAAAAAGAATTTGGGTACTAATGAAAAGTGGTAATCGAATGGAAGAGAATATTGATCCGATGGGCATGATTTGTTGTCTGTTTTAAAGTGCAATGCAGAGACAGCCCTGGTCAGATAACATCATAATTCATTAGTACCACAGATTACTTTAATTACCTTGTATATGTCACCAAAACCCCCTTCTCCAAGTTTATTTTCTTCACTGAAATTCTTTGTTGCAGATTTCAAATCTTTGTAGCTGTACTGTTCTGGGCCTTGCAACTCAGTTGCCCCTAGTATATTACCTGCAATTTAGGACAACGGTTGCATTTCAAAGCATCTGTGCAAAATTTTTCAAAGAAGAAGATGAAGTAAAACATATAAAAATCTCGAAGGGTTAACATTTCTTTTGAGGAAATGACAGACTGGAGAGTCAAGAACCGATACACATGGGTCAAATATCAGATGAATTGAGTGTGTAGCTGGTATAATTTTCGGATTTATCTGACAGAATAAAAATCTTCTAAAAATTGAAAAGCGGTCCATAGCAGTAAAGCTTGCTTGTACCTCTTCTTTTTGCTGCCTTTGGTGCTTTTGTTAACTGATACCACAGGAAGATGCCGAGTATGAGCAAAATAAAGCCTCCACCTCCAACCACTCCCCCAATAATGGCTTTCTTTTTGCTTGAACCTCCTGCAGATTACAAAAACACCTATTACGAAATGTTATTAATTTTGTTGTAATATAGTTGAAGGCTAGTTCTTGAGCATATGATCAGAATGATATCCAGATAAAAGTTCTTAGGCTTCTAGCATTAGTTCTACTGGAAGAAACACGAAAAAAATAGAAACAATCACTGCATGATCACATAGCAGCTGAATTTGTGGACATTTAATTTGTGGTTACCCTTGCCAACATCAGGGCAAGAATGAACAACTCAAAATTTCTGTACCAGGCTAATTGTATATGCAATAGGACAGAGATATCTCACCTCCTCCGAGGAATGGCGTGATATTGATGGTCTGGTTATCAGCAAAAAAGGCAGTGTCTGAGTACCTTAGAAAACACCCGGCATCAAAAGCCGTTCCATCTGCATTAGGAGGACAAGCTTGTATGTTACCACGTGCCACGGTCAAGCAATCTTGGCAACCAGTCTGGCTCACAGTTTCCGCGCATTGTGCAATGGCATACACTGTTACACCCCCACCGGCCACTGCCCTTTGGGACGCTGCAAAGAAACCATTAATCTTGGGTGTTGCGACTACAAGATCAGATATCAACCCGGTCACTGCTGTATCAAAAGCTGTTGCCTGAGTCTCAGTCCGATTGCCACATATTTGACTGTTTCCTGGGAGAGTGGTCTGATCATAGAAGCTATTGCTCTCATACCTTAACAAAAGAAGCAACTATTGAGAAATTTGTGCTGACATACTGAAATTGTTTCCATTCAAAATGATAATTATTGTGTCGCTCATAATTTGCTAGAAAACACAAGGCTTCAATATCAGAAACACCTTAGAAATCAAGATAACAGAAATTATGCCAAATAACAGTTTAAACAATCAAGATTCGCCGTCGGTATGGTTCATCCTTAACAACCTGTTCTCTAAAGGTTTTCTAATAATTCTTCTACACTATCCAAGAAGCTAGTAACAAGTTTAATGTTGAAGTACAGTATGCTCAATTCTTTTTAATTACAAGCTCAATAACAGGTTGAATTCTTAGCTGATAGAGAAGCCACTGTCATGTTTAATGTAATAGCCTACGAAGCAATCCAATTGTCAATAATTAGCTCCCTGCTTTTGACCCAAATATTTTAAAATAATATCATTGGGACCTAAACACCAGATTCAACTTGGTAACTCTCAAGTTATATAGTTTCAATAAAAAAGTCCAAGAGTTCAAGAAATTATGTTACCAATTACCACCAAAGAGTGTTATTGAATATTATGACAGTGGTTCACCGCTTTCTTTGGGATCAGCTGTAGTTGCTATGGATTAATTCAACAAATTATGTTAGTAATTACCAGCAAAGAGTATTATTGAATAGAACTATCGGACTAAATCAGCTGCCACGTCATTATATAAACAAATTAGTACAAACTCTTAAGTGTCTATGCCAAGAGTATATCATTGCCTGAAACCGTTGTGCCAATGATATAAAAATCAAAATCAAATATTTTTTTTTTTTTCAAAATCAAATTCACACCTCCAATTAGAAAAAGGTTAGCTGGGGACATGGATGTCACCTGCCCTGTTTATTTCTGTGCTCAGGCACATGGGCTGCTGCTGCTGGTGGTGTTGGCTGGTTGTGGTGTCATTAGAATTCAATTCAATTATCAAAATTTCTTTTCCATTTGTATAAAACCACCGCAACGATTCAATTTCATAAAAATTGAAACAAAACAACGATTAAAAATCAATTTGTAATTCGAAGTACTTCAGAACCTTCCAGAATTTTTCCTCGGTTTCGATTATTTTACAAAAATGTTATTATGAACTCAATCGTTGTTCCAAAAATTCCACCACTTGTGAGGGGTTAAAGCTCATTTGAATGGAATATTTCACCACGCCCAGAACCAACGTCCACGGCGGCCCACTCTATGGATAGTCCTTTCTTTTGGGCAGCTTGAGTTAGTTTTCAACACGATAGTGGTGATACGAATTGTTATGAACCCAACTGCTGTTCTAAAAATCCCGAGACTTGTGAGATGTCAGAGTTCAAGAACTATTTGAACGTAATTCCAAGCTAATCGAAATGAAATTTTGATAGTTGATTAACTTCAACTAGCCACTTCACTTACTAATCACAAATTACTTCTACTTGAGACATGGATAGTAGATCAATTGAATTATGCCGGCCATGAATCAAACCAAACTGAATGATAAAAAAGACAAAGGAGACTAATATCCAAATTCACCTGAGAAAGCACCCATCATATATAACACGAGCGCCGTTCGCCGCCGAGCAGTTTCTTATCTGAGCCACCGTAGCGTCATAGCAAGCAACACAGTCGGCCGTGGAGAGGTAGTTCCGGCACTGAGCCATGGCGTAGACGGGGTTGGAGCTCCTCGCTTGCTGCGCCGTCGCAAATTTCTTATTTTCAGTAGAAAGCTGGTTTCTGAGGTCCGAGAAGGTGGCGTTAAGGTTGCTAAAAAAATCCGACAGGTTGGTGGCATTGTACTGACTGCATCCATCATTTATCAGCTCAATTTGTGGGTCTGATCTCGCCGGTTTTAAAACCACGATAACAGTCACCACCACCGCCCACCAACACCACCACCGCCGTGTCATCGGTGCCTTCATGATTGTCCTGTGTGGCTTCGAGAGTTGGGACTTCACAAGGGACCAAAAAATGGAGTGGGTAGTGATGGAAGTTTATGTTGATGAGAAGGGTCGCTCAATTAGAGAGAGAGAGAGGTTACTTAAAAAAAAAATTAGAGAGAGCAAAGTTGACTTTTTTGGTAACATGGGCTGATTAGTTTATGTTAATTTGTGGGATTAGGTGTTTAAACACTGTGGTTAGGGGGTGGTTTTTGGTAGGGGTAATAGACGGAAGGGATGATGAAAAATTGTACAACGCAATGTTGTTGTCTCCTTATATTTGTCAAAGTAAATTTGGGGTTAGTCGAACTAAACTAAACGTAATTTAGTTTATATATCGATGACCTGAATACCAAAAAGAAGAATGAATGTACCTGCAGATGCAATCACACCCATTTGTAAATATTATGCTGGGCTATGATACTAAAAATATTAATTTTTATTCTATTAAAATGTGACATACAAAAATATTTAATATTTTTTATTTTATTTTAAGTTATTTTTTATTATGAGTAGCTATAATTAATTAAAAACAAAATTCATGGCTTAGTTTTATTTTTTGTATGATATCAAAAATTAATTTTTGCCGCCATAATCTTGTACCTTATGTTAAATCATGTATTTGTAATTGGATAATTTTCGTGAAATTTATGTAAATCTCAACTAAATTCTATAGTCATCAAACTTCAAAGATCTTGATTCGTAAGCGACAATAAAAGAGAAGGGGATCAAAAACTACAATACTGCATCAAGATTACTCCGATGCACCTTCAAGCTTAGGTTACAAGTAATGGCCTTAGAAACCTAGATCTCTCCGTTTAATTTTAAACTTAGGATAATTAAAGTGAAAAAAAAATTAGAATTTGGAATATCAAAAAAATGACTCATAGGGTTTTTCGTTGAAAATGTTTTCTAAATCTTATTTGTGTTTTGAAAAGATAATTTGAGTCATTTATCGGACACTATTTAAACAACACCCTTTAGTTCTTAATAGGTAAAGTTTTTGCTTGATTTCTAACTTAAAAACTAGTAAAAATCACTCTATGTTCGCTAGTTTTTATTATAGCGATTTCTAAAACACTTGGGAAGACAAAATTGGAGAAACTAGTGGAAACTGCTCTACGAATGCCCTACCATCACTTGAGTGGTCTGGAGGACATTCTGCCACCTGGAGATCTAGAATGATCTTTTAATTTAGCAACCACCACCCTATGACTGTCATTTTACTGCTTAAGCAGCTGATGCGAATTTGTGTTTTCTAAGTACCCAAGACAAACCTTATTTTGTGTTCCATATATATGGGGTTATATCTTAGACCTAGGGTAACCCTCTTTGAGCTAGAATAGACTAAAAATTCTTCTAGAGTGCTTTAAAAATAACATTAAATATCTAAGACCAAAGGCCAATCATCTTGATTCTTCCATTCAACCTCACACATTGAAAAAGAAGATCTTGTTTGGTGTCAATCAAAACCCACTTGGAGAAGTATGCATACCGAGGTCTTGAGTTTGAAACCTCGAAGATTACTCGAGGCCTAAACGAGCCTTGCGATGAGGAGTTTAAGTGAAGCTAGCCATAACATCGAAGGAGGGCTTTTGATAGAGAGATCTATGAAGGAGAGGAACATCTAGTCATGTGGATTGATTGAGATATAAAACTCGAGTACTTGTAGATTAACTTTAGATTTAATATATTAGGTTTTGGTAAACCAAAAAAGTTCCTCGCTATTTTTTTTTTTTTTGAGAAGGGTTTCCGCGCCAATAAATTATTTGTGTTCTTTATTGCTTTAGTAGTTTAGATGATCGTGGCTTTGGTTGGGATTAAAAATAGAATATGGATTGGTTGATGTTGATTGTATATTCATTCATCCATTCTGACTTAAATTGTCATATCTTTGATAGAAGAGGTAATTGTGATAGATATAGGTTAAAATTGAAGGTCATCCGAACTTAATTTTAAATTAACGTATTCAACCCCCGTCTAAGTGTACAATTTCTCGTGTATAATCAATTGAAAAGATCCTACACGTGAAGTGATATATTTTTACCCACAACCTTATGTAACATCTATGTACCGAAATGAATATCGGTTAAATTACATTGATATCTTTGATGATTCATGCTAAATTCGAGGGATACCTTTATAGTTTGTGAAATAATTCAAGTGATACATTTTATGGTCTGTTTAGTTAGGTAGATGAAAAATAAAAGTGACAAAATTTCTATCTTTCAATGAAAGAATCATTCATTTTCTCTTTTTGTATTTGGTAGGAGGAATAAAAAGTAGAAAGGATTGATTTTTTTTTTTTTTGTGTTTGGTAGGATCGAAAAGTATAAGGATAAAAATATATAGATACATATTTTATTATTATATCTATATATAAATTTAATGTATACATAATATGTAATAAATAAATATGATATATACATATATTAAAAGATATATAGGTAAATAACATATATTTCAACACACAATTAATTTTTTATCCATTTTTCCTCCTAATTTTAGAAGGATTGATTTTGATGAGTTAGAAGGAAAGTTTATTCATCAATTTTTTCATTCTTACCAAACATAATATTTTATCTATCTCTCTAATTTTTCATCATTTCAATTTTTATCTTTTTAATTTCCATCATACTAAACAAAGCATTAGAATTTTGCAACACATGCCTTGGTTAATCAATGATTAGGAGCATGAACAGATTATATATAATAAAGTACAAAGATTAAAGATATAAAAAAAGACTTTTGTTTTTCGTGATATAGATCATTTTAAATTTAATTTTAAAATTAATCCGACGACTAATATTATCTTCCCAAATTTAATAGAAAAAATAGGCACCTTAATGGTATGTTTGAGGTGATTTTTTAAAAGTACTTCTGAAACTTGTGATTTCTCATAAACATTTTTAAAAAAAATAGTGTTGGAAACAACTTATTTTAATAAGTTCCAAATAAGTCCAAAGTAGTTTTACCACTTAAATAAGTAAAAATTAAAAAAAAAATATTACTTCCACTTCTTTAAAATTATTTCTTTACAAAACACTTCACCATTACCATCGTCGTCGCTGCCACCACCACCGTTGTCCCCACCCCACTGCTACCGCCCTACCACCACCACCCCCTTTACCCCATCACCATCATTGCCACCCCCACCACCACCTCTACCACAACCGCCGATTGCTACCACCGCCACCCTTCACCACCACCATCATCATCGTCTTATTTTTATATTTATTATTACTACCACAATCATCCCACCACCACCGTCGCCCACTGCCACCATCATCGTTGCCACCACCACCCACTACCACAACCCACCATCACCTGTCGTTGCTCACCACTGTCGTCACCCACTATCACCCACCCCCACCACACCTACTACCACCAACCACCACCATCTATCATCGTCCAACATCACCGCCACCCACTGTCATTGATCCCCACCACACCTACCACCACCGCTACCATTGTCCACAAGTACCTGTCGTCACCCAACACCACCACCACTGTCATTGCCCCCACCACTATCAATCGCCATAACCGTCGCTCACCACCACCCACACCCATTACTACCACTATTGTCCCACGACTACCAACTAACATTACCGTCGCCCACCATCACCATCTTCGCCTTACCACTACCAACCACCATCACCGTTGCCCACCACCACCCACACCCACCACCACTGTCGCTATCACTCATGACTGCCATTACAACTATCGTCATCCAAAATCCACCACCACCATGGTCATCGTCATCCACCACAACCGTTATTGTCTCCCACCACCACTGTTGTCGTCCACTACCACCACCATCGCTCACCCACATTACATTTGGTGCTTAAATTATTTTCTCTCTTCTTTATGTTTGGGATTTAATTTTGGATGTAAATACAATATATATTTCTTATTGATATTTTTTTTATTATTTTGTACCTTCAGGCACGAGCAACAACTAGTTTATTAATATTTCAATTTTTCTCATAAATACTCATTGTTGTATCCTTAAACAAAAGTCAAATGGTCAACATGTGACTCATTATTGTAATTTTTATTATATTAACATGTGTTATTAACAATTAATTATAAAGTTTCCACAGTACAACAAAAAGGGCTCGACACTTATGTGTGGATGAAACCCTACCTCACCCTGTGATATCTTGTATTTCATATAAATATAAATGATATTAACTTGATAGTATTTTTAAAATGATTAAAATAGTGATAGAAATTTTAAATCGTTATTAAATGAATAGTCGCATAAGTTTGAGCTACATACGTATTGACTTTTGGGTCAAATTTAATTTTTGAGCTGTTTAAGGTTGATAAAGTTAATTAAGTAAATTTATTAAGCTTTTTTTATGTCAAAATAACATTACCATTGAATCTGGGAGGTCTGAAAATCTTGGAATAGATGTTTAGCTCATATAGTGATTCAAATGGATAAACATTATAAATTTGGCATTTTGGGTATTATTTAGCTTGGATTTGTATAGAACTCATAAAAATAAATGTTTTTAGTCTAAAATAACATTAAAAATAGATCCAAAATGTTGAAAAATTTTAAGATAGTCATACGGATCAAATTAGATAAATTTTGGGGCAAAACCATAATTTTGAAGAAAATACATTTTTTTGGGGTCCTGTGAACAGTACCGGCGTTAATGTCAGCCCTTATAACCCCATTTTCACTTTTATTTCCCTCATTTTTCTCACACCTCTCACCCAATACTATTCCATAAACCTTAGAATTAGAGAGAGGAAGAGAGAAGAATGTCATTAGAGCTTGTGCTTTTGCTTGAAAACTTAGGAACATTATTTGAGATTTTTGAATTCACTTGAAGATTTGAAGGTGGAGCTTGGGTTCTTGGGTTTTGAGGTAGAATTTTCCTTTCTCTTGCATATACATTGATGCATCGCATGTATGTTCTATATCTATTTGTTTAGTATGAGCTAAATACATGCTATGGGTCTTAATTAAATGATGAGTTTACTATGAATTTGTAAACCTATATGCATTAAATAAATTTGGGTATTGTGGGTTTGAAACCTTAACTTGATTTTTGTTATGAGTGTTTGATTGAATTTAAGATTTTGGATTCTTTAGAATATATGTGATTTTGTATATATTGTATTTGATTTGTTTTTTAAGAATGAGTATGTTCCTTTGTAAATGTGTATTCGAGGATTTTTTATCTATTATGTGTTTG